ATCTGTATAGAAACTAACAACTATTACATTACGTTAGTGCTTCAAAGACTCTGTTTTTGAAGAAGATGTTCAAAGTTGATATTGGTTCCATATCGGGTTAAAACTATTAAGGGCATGATAACAGGAAACTAGATGATATCATACTGTTTCGGTCCAGTAGGCAAATCTCTAGACGGGTTACTCTTTTTCTTGACGTATGTGATAACTAAAAAGGTGGTTTATGTAGATAATTATTGCTTTACTCTACAATCTAGATCTTTAATAAAAAACGTAGTAAGAGTTGTCACGCCTATATTAGTGTTTATTCTCTCCGTTAAATCTAAATTTCTAAACTCATTGGGTAGCTCGAGACAAGCGAAAAAAAATGTCATACGAAGAATTCAGCTTAAAGGATCTGTTGGACACCAGAGATTTTAACTAAAGTTTGATAGTTCGAGTTCTCCAGTAGAATTTGAGTCCAGGTAGAGCACTTTCGTTTTGACAAAGTCAACCTTAGGGTTTGTCGGAACTACGTTGTACGTGTCAAATTGAGTATGTGTACCGAATTTACCTCGTGGTAATGTGCAAAAACTACAAAGGTTCGCGCCTAAGATCGTGTATCAATAGATTAAGGAGGGGCTTTTGCTGAGACAACCTATACGCCCTTTAATTTTTACGGGCAGCCCAGAAGGTAATTGGTTCTGATACAATTCTAATTTAAATTCTAATACCTTTTAAATTAGGCGGCTCAGTTACTTACACATTATTACACAACAATTAAAATATACCCAACTACAATCTATAGCTCTTTTTCTAATATAGAAACAATCTTCAGCTAACATGGGCAATTAGAACGGTTTGGGTTCTGGCGGGAAGTTGAGGTTCTGTGGTAGGTTTGTGTTTCTGCTTGTAGGTTCGGATGGGGTACTTGTATGAAGTAAGGTCCAGGAAACGAGCTGCGGAGCAATATCTCGTTCATCCCAGCACGCCCTCCTTTCTTTTTCTGTTAAGGTTTATAAAAATTGTCCTCTGACTGTCATTATTGGTCTATCTTTGGATTTCTTCAGTCTCCTGAAATATACTAAGCCACATTAGATGAAACGTAAAAGATTTGTTTAAGGCTTACCTTAAAGGATTTCTTTCATATTTTTGCTTAATTAAAAAATCCAAACATTAGATGTATTTGAAAAGTACTTAAAAGGCATCCAGAGCGACCCATATCGCTTGAATCACGTTGGTTGCACAAAAACCGGAGGTTGAGAAATGAATACTAGCCCACATGGTAGTTGCATGGGTCACTTGCAACTCATATATCACATACCTTGGTTATACATTCATTATTCAATAACTAAATCGGGCGACCTCCAATCTCTATAGATTTTCAAACGCATGGTTCCAACAATATCGACGAGAATTTTCAAATGATTTCGGCATTAATTCCGGCCGCGGTTGCTGAGTTTCTGAAAGATAAATCATTTTAAAACATTATTGGATTTAATATCTTCTGAAATATTCGAATTTTCGGAATGTTGACGACGGATTCCGAATGAAGAGTTACATAATGCATCTGCAAAATAACAGGTCTCAAAATTTATTGAACACGAAGTAACGGCGGTACGGCACTTTTGGCCCCCTCTATTAGTATTATTCCTAGTATATCTATATTATTAGAAGCTTTCTGGAGTATTCTGACAGTGAACAACCGTTAGAGCTACTAAAGTCTGGTGTATCGTAACAACATAATATATAGTGAAGTATGGTGTATTCTTAACAAGATAAGAACTAGTGACGTCTTACGTCTGGTGTAACTCCAACAATAGTGAATCTGAAAGTGAACAAGTGTAGAGCTATTAAAGTTGGTGTATCGTTACATAGAAAAGCACCAGCTACGAGCATCTGCGTGAACAATCTAGGTGCAGGAGTATTGCATCGCACTGCATAACCGATTCAGTGGTCTGCGGTGGAAGAGTTTCGGATGGAGGGTGGGAGGTGGTCAAGGGGGCATCAGGGAGGTTTCTTTGGAGGTTTTTTGGTTCAACGCCGCGCCGGGAGGACGAAAGCAAGAACTTGTCACAAGAGACAAAGGATTCTTATCTCGGGGGATGTATGTTTAAAGCAGAATTGCCCAAGTGATGGATTCTATAGTTCTGAGTATTCTCTTGCTAATAAGAGTGTGAGAAGAGCTGCACAGAAGGATGATGAGAACTGGGCTATACGGGTTGCAGCGATTGGAAACAGCTTTCTTCACACGGTCAGCAGAGGGAGTCTGCAGATGATTCAAGTCCTTGTCAGCCAGAAGAGTCGGAAGTCAACTGCTGTCAGAGATAAACCGATGAAGTTGATTCACTTCGGTTCTCTAGCTGCTGTCATCTTCCTCTACTGGCATAGGATGATTTATCTTGAAATGATCTATAACATCCTCTGTGATCCTGGAACCGACAAAACGATCTGAAAATCAATAACTTAGTTAATTGCATAAAATGAATTATTCCACGTGCAATAACGTAGTTATAATAAATACAAATATGGTTTTTTTACTTTTTACTCAACATGCACTTACCCATCATGTTCGAAGCATCTTTTACTATCATGTTCCAAGCATCCTTTACTTCAGCAAGTTTCTCGGCGGTCAGTGTTTGGTTAAAATAGTTCTGATCATAGAGTATGTCCCAAATACTGTGAGTAAACTCACAATCATCCTTTTCTTCCTCCTCTTCTTCTTCAGCAGGACACCCAGAATCCACTTCTGAGACATTACCAGTTCTGTCCTGACTCAGGATGCTCTCCCAGGTGATGAACCTGACTTCCTGGTGCTTCTTTTCTACATCTGAACATCTACCAGCGTTGTATAACTCTGCAATTTCTTTTGAACTGAGCACTTTTCCAAATATATCTAGTTTCATCAGCTGCCCACCGAATATTTCATGGTTATGTGGGCTGGCAGCATCGTGTCCCAGAGTGATGACACCCCCCTCTTCGATTGGAACTGAGGTCCAAACACTTTTAGACCCTATCAGAGTACCATTATAGTAGGTTTTCATTGTCCCAGTGCTTGCTGACCAACTATGACATTGATGAGTCCACGTGTTGAGGGGCACTGTAACAGCTCTTCTCAGGATGTTGAAGATGTTGTGAATCCAGTTGTAGATACCAGCATCCGATATTAGGATCTCGTAACTGTGTGTGGACGTTTTGTAGCTAAACCAGGTTCTGTAGGTGCCAGTCAGCTGCTTCTTTACCCATGAACACACCGTTAGGGAGTCTTTGACCTGGCTCATATCAGGTGAAAACTGTATGTAGTCATCAAGAGTGCTACCGAACTGCAGTGCCTTTGTTAAGGATCTCTCTGATGCCGATATAGTGGGGATGGTGCAATGGAGGGCTAGCAGGGCTGTTAGGAGTTGCAAAAACATGATCCTGGTTTAAGATTACTGAATAGTGAATACTGATCATTTATAAATACGTTTGTTATTTTAACTTATTTTAGCTTAAACCCTAATTGTTTAATTATTGCTTGTCTGTTTAAATTAAAAAGAAGAGGACCAATCATTGTTAGTTAAATGGTAGCTATTAGCTAATTTTCTTAACCGAATACAGTTAAACCCTGATTAAAATTGAACAAAATGCCGAATGTTACAGAAAAATCTAACCAGACCTACGTTAAAATATAGCGTTAAATCGGGGTTTCAACAACTGTAAGAGAAGGTAACAAACCAAGCAATTATAAAATGACCCTGCCCTCAATCACGATGCTGATTGTTGTTGCATGGGAACTTGCCGGTTGACAGTTGACACGTCATAACGATACAGTCCAATAAAACTAAGGCTACTATACCTTCTGATATCTGGACCTCAGACCACTGCTTATATAATATTCGTAACTCTCCTCAATCCTGCCTCCACAGGGCTCTCTGCCTACAGCAGTCTTACCGTCGCAGCTTCCTTCACAGGGCCTCCCCACACCATGTCAACTTATCAGGCTCTTTCAAACCACCTTTATTGATAAAGGCTCTTTGTTTCTAGAATAATGCTCCAACAGGTGCAAATTCTTAGAACGCATGTTCACGAATAAAAAAGCTCTCAATTTTTGTTCGACTTCTAGGGAAGGGCAGGATCCGGTTCCGAGAAAGTTAGTTTAACAAAAGGTACAGTGGAGCTGCACGTGCCTGCTTCACTTATTTACTCACCAGTTGGAGTTATAAGGTCCAGGAACAAACACCATTTATTTAGTCTGACTACCTCTTCAAGGGAAATTTAAGATGTATTCCAAACAATAACCGACAGTGCAGGTGGTTAAAGTTCACGTGTTTCTTTATCAGCCATCTGACCGTGGTTTACCCTCCAGTTCAATGGAGTTAATATCATCCTGCTGGATGAAATTTCAATTCAAGTGATGCTTTTCAACTTCAGGACCGTTAATTAATTAAATGTTTTGTTTGTTAATTAATTAAATGTTTTGTTCCACTAAATTAACACGACCATCTTGAGGATGACCTTATAGATCTTCACTGGCTGGGTATAAAGAAAATTATTGCATTCAAAATCTTACTACTATGTCCAGGGTGTCCTGAGACATTAGATTTCATAGATTTCATATGAAAAATCAAATAAATCTTAAATCTCTGCCCATTGATAAGAGGTCGTTCACATATTACGTAATCAGCCGATGGGGGGTTTCCAAATGATTGACATAATAGCTGTGTAAAAATAATTACGGAGGAGGAGGGCCGTGGGGGGAGGGGTAAAAATGGGCCAAAAATTGATTACGTATAAATATTATGTGAACGACCCTAATCACATTAATGTTGAATAAATATAGGGTCAGTATAACTATTGTAATAATTGTTATGAATGTTCTAAAACGGGTTACTTTTATGAAAACTGTGTTATGATATAACTGAATGATTTTTCGCCAGCTGTTATAGCTGGTCTAAGGTCATGATTTGCAAACTAGTTTTATATTAAACTAGTTTGAAATAACAACTGTTGTCTGTTAATAATGATATACCAATGATAGGATAACAGTATGGATGCAGTTTCGGTGTTACAAAAAGAGTTTTTCAAAGTGGAATCAAAACACAAAGAACTACAGGAAGGACTCTCCAATATGGACGATCTCATTGCTGCCATTGAAAATAATCAGGTTTTTACATACAGTTAGAAGACATGTACTTAATTTATGAAGAGCTGCACAAATGTTATTCTACTGGTTTCATCACAGTAGGTGTAAATATTGCGGAACTTTTCCAGAAAGAACAAGCAAATCCACCATCAACTACCCTTATAACTTTATAAAGTTTTATTACTGATCTTTAAAACAATTTAAATTAACGAGGACTACATTCGGGATTTGGGTTCAAACACTTAGCTATTATACAGTATCTAGTAGATTGACATGACGTAGAAATCTTAAAAATCGTATAATTTAAATCTATATTAGTCACAAATTAACATGTCACGTGACTATGACTTCCTCCTCTTAGGACCTGGACAGTAATTGGTATCTGAACCAAGTTAAGACAGAACTGACTAATATCTCCGTATCACACAAAGACTGGCACGGTTCCATCAGTAGATTTGGGAAAGTTATTGATAAACAACTCACTGAGAATGTATCTTTCTTCACCAACAGGTTTGCTTGCTTTATTAATTGTTAGTTACTCGGACACTCGGTGGTTAATTTTCAATAATTTAAGTTTGATCAGTGCTGATGGTAGTCTCAAAGACTAGAACATCGTTTTCTGATGTTGATCGAACTGTTATTATCGTGTTATGATATTATTTGAAGGGTTTCGTTTCGTTTTAAGCTCAAAGTACTGAATTCTAATTGTCAACCACATCTTCCTCAGAGACCTAATAACAGGTAGAAACTCACATCTTCTCCATCAACTCATTTGTGAACATTTCTTGAGACAGGTCAGTTTTAACTTAAGGTTTCTACTTATCGTTTCTACTTGCATGGCACTTATAATTATGTGTGTAACATTGTAACAGAATTCTACCGTTTCACTGTAACACTGTAACATTGCAACACTGTAACGCGGTAACACTCGTGATGCTGTAACACTGTAACACCCGTGACGCTGTAACACTGTAACACTGTAAGTTGTAACACTGTAACATTGACACTTTGACACTGTAACACCCTTACCGCTGTAACACTGTAACACCCAGGGTAATCTGGATCTAGTAGAGAAGTTTATCACAGAGAGTGGTCACCAGTTAGAGGAGTGCAGAAAGCGCCCTTTTGTAGATCTCAACCAAATAGTGGGGTGTCTGAAGAGAAGAGATCTGGAACCAGCTCTACGGTGGTGCGAGAATAACAGACCTGCTCTTAAGAAGAGGTAAATAGTTAGTTTCGGGTTACTACCCCTCCCCCCTACTACCCCCTCCCCCTACTACCCCCCTACTACCCCCCCTCCCCCATACTACCCCCCCCCCCCAATTACCCCCTACTACCCCCCTTCCCCCTACTACCCCCTCCCCCCTACTACCCCCTACTACCCCCTCCCCCCTACTAACCCCCTACTACCCCCTCCCCCCTACTACCCCCCCTCTACTACCCCCCTCCCCCTCCCCCCTCTACTACCCCCTCCCCCCTACTACCCCCTCCCCCCTACTACCCCCTACTACCCCCTTCCCCCTACTACCCCCCTCCCCCCCCTACTACCCCCTCCACTTACTACCCCCTCCCCCTACTACCCCCTCCCCCCCTACTACCCCCCTCCCCCTACTACCCCCTCCCCCTACTACCCCCCTCTCCCCCCTACTACCCCCCTCCCCCTACTACCCCATCTCCCCCTACTACCCCCCTTCCCCCTACTACCCCCCTCTCCCCCTACTACCCCCTCCCCCTACTACCCCTCCCCCTCTACTACCCCCTCCCCTTCTACCCCTCCCCCCTCTACTACCCCCCTACTACCCCCCTCCCCCTACTACCCCCTCTCCCTCTACTACCCCCCTTCCCCCTACTACCCCCTCCTCCCCTACTACCCCCCTCCCCCTACTACCCCCTCTCCCCTACTACCCCCTCCCCCTACTACCCCCCTACTACCCCCTCCCCCTACTACCCCCCCCTACTACCCCTCCCCCCTCTACTACCCCTCCCCCCTACTACCCCCTCCCCCCTACTACCCCCCTGCCCCCCACTAGTTCATAGACTTTGTGGCCTTTTTGGTCATCTTGATGAAAATTTAAAATTGCCATTGTCAAGTAATAGCTTAATAGGAGTGAGTAAGGTGTTTGAAATATTGTGTGTTATGTTTGCTAACCAGCACAACTATACATCACAATTTCAGAGGTAGTTCCCTCGAGTTCATGTTGCACAGACTAAACTTCATAACACTTATAAAAGAAAGGAATACTGCTGCAGCTCTTACATACGCTCAGATATTAGGTAATGCTACCAAACACTTAAACAACTTTTGTTCTCTTCGTTTGATTATAATATCATGAAAAATCGATCTTTCAAACGGTTTGATTTCAATAAATTATTATATATTCATGTAATATTCAAAATTTTCATTACCTTACAAGACTTTTTCATAACGTACGAAATGCGACGGTTTTCCCGAAATTTCGCCATATTTTCGGACCGCCAAAATTTCGGTCGTCGTAATAGAATCCGTCGCATTATTTTTAGCTTATTCAAATAATTGTGGCTTCATCGATTCATTTTGTTCTTGAAAGGTTAGTGATATGATGGTGGGACAAATAAACACAATACTCCATGATGAATTTAATGTCAAGTAATACGTTTTAAATTTACAATAAATTACATGTGCTAACATAAACGTCTTATAAGAGACTAAGTCAAGATAAACAATTTAATACCAAACTCAATAAGTGAAACTGAAAGAGTCGAGCCGGACCCCTTAGACTTAGAGGAAGATGAAGAAATCGATTTATAAGTTTCATTTTGTTTCAACATGATTTTACCGATTTTTAGAAAATTTTGAATTTCCTTTGTGTCAGAAAACAAAATGATGAAAAATACCCTTATTTTCTGTGACGTCCGAAATGTGACGGTTTTTGTTCAATTTCGCCATATTTTCGGACCGCCAAAATTTCGGTCGTCGCAAATTGGTCCGCCACAAAAATGTCTTGTAAGGTATGCCATCAAATGTTTCTCCAGATATACTGGTTCCAGTACCTAGGTACTACCTTGATGGCGACTCGTGTCACTCTCACCGATATCACTGATTGGTCACTAGTCAAAATTTCAGTAAAAACCGCGAAATTTCGGTCAAGGGGACAGCAGAAAACCTCCTCTTCAAAAATCTTCCAAAATCTCTTTTTATATTCTGATGATTTTCCGTTTATCAAAACTTTCTTCGGGAATAGAACTTTGAGTACCTCAATCGTGTCTTTTGCCATCCTCAGTGACCTTGTAAGATGGTCATTCAAAGAAAGTTCAGTCAAAACTGTGAAATTTGGGTCGCGAAAAGCTGAAATTCGAATAATATGTCCTACCGGTCGCGGTAGGACACGTGTTAGCGCTGTCACGTGACCATGACACGTGACCTATCACCTAACACGTGACCCTGACAGTTAACTAACCAGGGTATACTCCTATCAGGCCAGTTTGTGGATACACACAAGAAACAACTACAGAGACTTATGGGTTCCTTACTGTACATTTCCACTGGCATTGAGAACTCAACCTACAACGTGAGAAATTAAAAGCTATTTAAATATTTAAGTTCTATAACTATAATAATCATTATAAAGTCTTAGATGATGTTATTCATTGCGAGAATGGGATAATAATTTGTGTAAAAAGCAGCTAGTTGGTGTCGAAGAGGTTGTTTGTCTCATCAAATGGTCATGTTTCTAAAAAAGGATGATTTAGGCTTTAGCCCGCAAACGCTGCTCAATTTTAGATTTCAGCAACATTATGTTATGAGGCTAAGGTATCGTGGTTTTAACTTAATTTGTAAGGTTTTACAAAATGTACATATTTAATAAATACTTGGTGTGTTTAGTTCACATCTATTAGTCAGTAATAACAGTGGTGGGTTGTGTTCCCACTGTAATTTACACCGCCTGACAAGTGCAGGCTATAGTAGTGATAGACACTTTGTTAATTAATTAATTGATACACACATAATAATGATGATAATGTGATGAAGCGCTATGATGTTACAGCTCCTCCTCACGATATTGTGTACTTGTAGTACTCACGTTATTGTGTGTACTAGATAGTGAGATAGGTTATGTGTACTTTGCCTTGTGGTTTCAGTTACGTCTTTTAGTGTTAAAATGCTTAGTTTTTATAGTACGAATCTCTACTATCTTACTATATAATTCCTACCAGATTTCTTGATCATTTTGATTTTCATAATATAGTACAATATAGTACCTATTACATTGATGAGGATTACTAGAATGTCCTGCAGTTCAATACTCCATAACAGCTTACAGCATGCATTATAAAATTTCCATATCGGCCAGCAGTCTGTGTGTTTATTTTGTAAGACTTTCACTAAATAGGAAACCTAAACCACGTACTGTATCAATCTGTTTAGGGATATTAAAGATGATTGAAGATCCGAAGAGAGTGTACACCCCTATGAACTTTGGACTGCGCCTCTTGAAATCTCCAACCCACAGTAATCTTATCCTAGTTGCCAGCCAAGGGGAGGCAGTGAAAGCAAGCTCTGTCATCCTCTCCTTCAACAGCCCTGTCATAGATCACATGACCACTGAATTACACCTCACCAGTCTGGACATGAAGGAGTTCAGTAAACAGGCGGTCCAGGGTTTTGTTGAAGCTGTCTACACGGGAGATGCAACAGGTTTGAGCAGAGACACTTTTAGAGATATCAACAAGATGGCTCACGTGTTCAAAGTCACGTGGCTGGTGACCAAGTGTGAGGAGCAGTTCTCTCAGATTACTGATCTGATCTTAGAACCATCTTATCCTGATCTACTATTCCTTTTCGAGGAAGCTGTATATGTCTGCAAAGCTAAACTGGAATCGACCAAAGTTAAAGATGTTGCACTTGAGAAGATAAGGTCTTTAAAATGGGAGCAGCAGTTTATCAGCAAATATTTGGAAATTAACGGAACATTTTCCTCCAACCAGCTTGACATCCTGATAGAATTGGCAGGAACCCAAATAACTTGCATAGTTCAGCCCATTGCGGACAATCTTACCGCCCAGCTAGAAACTGGCACGAAACTGTTTCCTGACGAAACCAAGTATTTGTTAGACAACTGTAACCTGTCCAGATACAGACTGCATAGTGTGGACATGTTTGAACGGTTATTTGATCTGCTGAGAGAAGTTTTGAGTGAGTCTCCGGAGCTTTACAAATGGATATTTGATTTGTACAGAGCATCAACTCAAAAAGCGCTTGAGCCGAATCTTGAAGCTCCATTACCTGCAACTGCTGGCGAGGGTGAGAGCATCGCCATTGTTTCAGAAGATACGACGCTTGTAAAAGAGATCTCGTTAAAGAAGCTCCATAATTTAGATTGCAGTATGGGATTTGAAGATTTCATCAACTGGATGGGCCAATCTCCGGACATAAAAAATCTCATGATGTTTGTTGAAGGTCTTATGGCTTGGATGGATGCGCACACAATTCTAATTCCTGAACAATGCTCACCAGAGGTGATTAAAAAAATCGTGGATATCAAACAAAAGCGAAATTGGAAAACAATCCCTCTTGGCTTTTTCGAATTTATGAGCATATTTATCCGAAGTCGATGCACAGCATTTGTCTCTCTTATGAATAGTCTCATAGACTGCAAAGAAATAGTCACTAAAAAAAATCACCAGTGGCACGAAGAGTTCGCTTCGTTTGATGATGTCGAACCCTTTGCCTTAACCAAAATGTCCCGACCAAATATTAGGAAATACCTTGTGGAATATAGTTCTCATGGAACCAAGTGTCCAATACCAGGAGAATGTGGCATCATCCTAAAAAGTTCGTGGCACAAAGAAACTGGATTGGACATCAGTCTTTGTACTGATCCTGAGGAAAGCACCAAAGACTTTCACTTTCACCGTGAGGTTCAAGCTGAGAACATACATGTCCAACCTGCAGCAGTGTTCTTGAGTCCCTTGGCATGGCATGATGTGCCGGGTCCTGGTATAATGGACTTTGGTGCTGCAAGTGTTATCTCTATGAACGTGTTCATTGCTAAGTAACTTGATGCGATAACATTATCTTAAACTAGATAAAAGTGATCCTGTGTATAAACACTAATTAGCAATCTAATATAGTGTTTTTGTGTATAATATAGCAACTATTACTTGATAGCTATTACAGCAACTGTTTACATTAGACGAAGCCTATTCTAAACCCTACAAAAACTTTGATTTTAATTAATTACTGAATTCGCACTTTGATATTGTACTCAAATCATTTTGATAAACATAAAGTTGTTAAAATATATACCGGTAGTTTCTTCTAAAAGTGCTGTGACCAAAATCCAAACCTGGATTACTGCGGACACAACGCAGGGTCCTAACCACTAAACGAATCTTTCAACTAAAATATTATATGAAAGTTTAACACAATGTAAAGACAATCATTCGTAAGATAAACAACTTTTAGACCACTAGTTCCAACAAAAAAGACAGGTTATATTTTTCTGCAACATGCCTGCACAATTTTCTGTGATTGCTATTTTCCGGTACGGTGAAAAGCATTTCATATTGATAACTTGATAATGTCCTGTGAAACAAACAGATCAACAGACTCGTAAAATAAGAATTGTCCACCCCAGGATTTGATGGATCCTCAACACTGGGTAGATATCTGTGAGATGTTCACTAAAGAGGCGTGCTCTCTAATGGGTCTATCTAAAGAGTCACCTCTCTCAATCACAGTTGATGCTGGGTGTAAAGCTTTACCTGCACTCAACTCCATCAGACAGGTTCAGTCTTACTTATTATTATTCTTTATTTATTTGTTTACTTATTTTTATTCTGAATTTCGAGGAATTTTGTGAAGGTTCTGTAGTTTCTTTGTCTAGTATGAGTCTACAGTTATCAACTAAATTGGCTAGGAATTATACGACTGGGGTATTGGTTAAATGAAACAATGTCGCAAAAACTTTAAAATAACAATTGAACTTAACCTTGCTATTCATGTGAAGATTAATGTTGATAAACTGTGAATAATTTTAGGTAATGGAAGCAAAACAGTTGTGGGGATTGAAAGATGAACTGCCGTGTGAAGTAGATCTAGGACCTTCCTGTCAGTTCCACTCTTTATTCGCATGTCCCATACTCAGGTAATATTTTACTCAGCTTTATTTAATTTGCTGTCATCAGTTTTGTTGTCAATTGAAGGTTGTAGAATTTTAATAGTTTACTTGTAAGAGACAAGTAAATATCATTTCCATGTTTTTTGGCAAAAATTTTTTTTTAAAACTGTTTTTATCAACACAACAACTAGTTTAGCAGATAACAAAATTAATTTGTTTGTTTTCCAGAGCTCAGTGCACGAAATCAAACCCTCCAATGAGGTTGGAATGCGGTCACGTGATCTCAAACGACGCTTTAAAGAGACTTGCTATATCAAACAAAGTAAAGTGCCCTTATTGTCCCCAAGAAACGAGTCCGAGTGAGGCTAAACAGATTTATTTCTGAGTATTTTCTGTTAAAGTTGTAAAATATTGAGATAACATATTTTGGGCGTAAGTCACCTGGACTTTTCTAAACCTTGTTCGTGCTTTTTGAAGACCTTTGAATCCAACAGGATAGGTTGCTTTGAGGAAAACTGAAAACTGTGTATAAATATTAAATGCATAAAAATATCGGGGCTTTGCTTATTAAATAGTGCTTACTTTTATTAGTTTAAAAAGTATCCATCAAAATGATCGCTGGGGCGATTTTTGAATGTTGATAGACTGACATTGTAAAATTTATTGATGCAGTTTGTAATTGTTTCAAAATATAACAGTTTGTAATTCAGCTTTCCAATTAAACTGGTATTCACACGAACGTCGAACGGGAGAACTATTCGAAAAATATATAATATATTACTGAAGACTCTAATGTACTGTGCCGGTACCTGATAATATACTGCTTTTTGTAAACCGCGAGGACATTTTACTGGATTTATTTTGTTGTAAGGCGCGGCTTTTCTGCGCGTTCCTAATGCGCGTGTGGATAGACTGGCTGGCCGGCCGGATTGATCGTTTCTATTTAGTGGTTACACCTAATAAAATATAATATAACAATTAATGGTTAAGTTATGCCGAGTCATTTAATACGTTAATTTGTTCGTCCTGCTAAGTAAATGTGATGTTGTCTCTTTGATCCAACCAAATTTTGGAAATCTACGAACAGGGGCCTAATCTAGAGATCAGCGAGTTGTAATGTGTAGTATAGAAACTTAATTTACAAAAGATGCAAGATGGGAATCAACGAATTGAAAGGATTGAATTGAAAGTTAAAACGTAACTCAGTTTCAAACAAATAATAAAGTCGTGAAGAAGACTAATCTCAAAATTTTAAGTAAAGAACGAAAACTTATATATATATATATATATATACGAAAACTATATATTTATACGGAAACAGTAAATTATAATTCTATAATCAATAATTGTGTATTATTATTTTTATTATGTTAAATGTCAGACGAATTATGCACTTAATGTAGTATAGCATTTGAAATTATTTGAGCATTTTCAAGGTGCAGACACTCACAGTGCATATACTTTAAAGTTACGAGACTTTCCACATATAATAGTACTTAATATACTTGCGGGTATAATAGTAATATCCATGTGGAAAGACTCGTAATTATACATAATGAATACAATGGCTCACGTCACGTTTGAACGGGGAATCGTTTAAGATCACTTTCGAGGCACCTCGACAAAAGCTTCTCACGCTATTGTGCTTGTTATGGAAAAATACGTCAGTAGCGTTTTTGAATTGAGCTTGTTAATTGTTATAGTCTCTTTCAAAAGTATTCCAAGTGATTTGTATCTCGATTCATGTTAATTGACGATGTCAATTCTTGTATCACGTTGTGACTCCCACGGTCGTTTCACATTTCACTATGGTGACTTTATCGTCCTGACGATACAGGGGGAGCCGCGCACTTCGTGCGCGGCGGGTCATACATGACGTATGACAAGTCAATTCATCGCAGCTCGGCAAGGCACAGTACATATTAGCGCATCTCTGATCTCGCTGCGAGAAGCCTCATTGAGTACGCGGCGCGGCACAGATAAGCATCGCGCTACAAGATTTATGAAGTTTAATAGAAGTTACAGCAATGCGCGTAATTTGGGGAGTGTGCTTTTGGGGATGATGATTAATCACTCTACACTCGACTGTCACGTGACTTTTTCAACCCGTTTTCTAGCTGAACCTGAACGAATAAAGCTCAAAAATGCTATACAATAGTTTAATTCAATCCCACCTGTATTACTGCGCTACTGTTTGGGTACTAAATCTTTAAATTCCATTCAGTCTTTATTCTCTGCTCAAAAGAAAGCTATTCGCGCCACTGATTCAGAATATCATAACTATTTTTACGACAAAGAAAAACGTAAACTACCATCTCACACAAAATCCATCTTCAACAAAATAGGAATTTTGGCTCTTCCTAATCTCATTGCTAAAAGCTGTCTAACTTTGATGCACAAGGTTTATATGGGAGTAGCACCATCGAGTATTTGTAGTATATTTGAAAAATCACCGCTTAGACAAATAAATAAAACGGAAAGGAGAAATCCAAAGTATTTTGAAATTAAGTTCAACAGATTACGGATCACCGATTATAGCATCTCTAACGTAGGACCACGATTATATAACAACACGATAAACGAAATAAATAAAATCCTTCCCTTCAACGTACCTAAGTTACAAGATAAGTTTATTAATTCATACAAGGACAACATTGTACGTTACTTACTGGACAAACAAAAACTTGACCTAGAAAACCTTTCGTGGACGGACAAGAAATTTGTCCTTTACAACTTTTAAACAAAATATTAGCAAAATACAACAGCTGTAAGAATCCTAAACGTTAGTGCAGTCAAATAAATAAACTGCGATAATGCATCTGACAGTCAGTCACTGCAATTTATTCTGCAACTTATTTTTCAATTTTCACTGCCACACTTAGGCTTATCTTGCCTACACATTTTTTAAAAACGAAATTCCTTGCGCACCGCGTACTAAAATTACTTGGATTTCTACCGTTTTGATAAATGACTACAAGAAGATGGGGAGTTAATATTGTTGATTTATATAATATAGATTAAATATTCTTTAGTGTAGATTAACTTTATTTTTATATATTTTACCAAGTGTGAAGGATCAACCATACGTTATTGATATTCTTGAAATATTAATGATAAATTGATATATTAATAAATGATTGTAATATTTTTTATTGAGGCACATGCCACCCCATCGCGGGTTTACTACTACTACTACTAAAACGACTATTCGAAACCCTAACCCTCTAATCTGATCCCAACCCGGCACTAACCCTAACCCAATCTTTAACAAAAGCATATGCTGAAACCTTGATTGACGATGTCAATCCGTCGAGATCGTTGCTCTGCGAAGCAAGAATGCTAGTTCGCGCGGCGCGTCGAAGCGGCGAAGTCCTCCAAGCTGAAACCCTAACCCTAACGAGAAATTGGACTAACTTCCTTATACGGTCATATCACGTGATCGAGACAGTTTTTCGCCAATATCTCGTCAGGGGAGCATTTTAACCCTATGTCATGGGGGTGTGATTCGGAATCAGCGTCCGAAAATTCATCGATTTAGATCAGTTTCAACTGTCGGGGGCCCTCGTCGAACAATTTAGAATATCGACTGTAGAGTGATTTAGCACGCTGCGCTCGTGCTTTTGGCGGAGATATAAACTGCGCCTTTCGTTTTTGATTTTACCAAGCAACCTATAATGATTATTAATGAAATTATCAAATATTTATAATTCAATATGTATTGATTCTTCTGTGGAAAATAAAAATTGTACTTTAAAAAAAATCATAAGCAATAAGACTGTAAAATCTTACCTTGGGACTTAATTTTCAATTCCAAACTCAAATATACAAAATTCAACTTGAAAGTTATACATATGTGATTTGATGGAGTAGAGGGTTGGGAAAAGATTATTGTATCAATGGCCGATATTGTAGCGCTATGCACTACTGGGCCGCGCCGCGCATCTTCTCGCAAACATCTTCTCTCGTATGCAGATCGGCGAAATGCGAAGGATTGACATCGTGAATCAATGGCCGTCGGCCGATATCAAAAGCTATAAATATGTCAAACTGTGGCCTTACCGTGCTAATCACGATGGTTTATCTCTAATGCTCTTATTAAAATGTCTATTTTACACTAGTACTAGGCAATGCCGAGTGTCAGGAATGAGGGACCAAAACGATTGGGGCTAACAGTGGTCAATTTAGAAATCATTCTTTGTTTGCGACATGTGAAACCATCAGGTTATGATATTGTTTTTGGAGTTAAACTCATTTGTGGTCCAATCAAGCAGGGCATGGCTAATTGTTAAACAGTGCACGTTTAAGCTTTCCTCAAAAACATATCCCACCCTTAACTGGGGACCTCAGGCTATCATGTTCATTAACAATAGAGATTCGGTGGAATGACAGGCTGAGCGCGGCCCAGTAAATTCCACCCATGGTAAAGTCAGCCATTCTAAGCGTAAATCGACGTCCTCCAACTTCAAACTTGTAATTCTATCATGTTACATATCTTCACCTAACCATTTGCTTTCGTGCCACTGCGGGTGCGCTTGTTTCACAAGCGGGGGTCATGATTAATGTTTTTGTAGTCAAACTCCTTTTACTCTAGTAGCAGGGCATAGTTGAGTGTGCACTTCGATGTATACGATTTCTGACAACACAGGGTTGTTTGTTAGGTCATTCTAAACCAGAATCGTTTAGGTGGACAATTTGTTTCGCTAGAGACAACCCTACAGGGCAAATTTTCTAAATTACCCTCAGTCGCGTATACGGGATTTTTGTATTTCGGCTCCTGAAGGTCATGGAGATTTTATTTTTGGCGTAAAATTACCGCAGTGGCCACATTTATATACAACTTATTAATCAATGTATGGTCTAAAATTGTTTGTTCCCGAGATATCTGCAAAAAACTAATTTAAGCTCAGGCGTAGGCACAAATTTCATCAAATTTGTATCTCAGCTTCTGAAGGTCTTAGCGACTCAAACTTTGGCTTAAAATGACCGCAATGCACATGTTTATATTGACACTATAAAGGTCATAAAGATCCAAAATGCTTGCTTTTGGAAAAAATCCAGAAAAACTGATTTTCACTGGGGCGAGTGAAAAAAATCTACTCTAGAAGCTAATTGAAATCGAGTATGCAGTTTTGTGTCTACAAATTTACTAGAAACCAGGTCCTTTGTAAGGTCATTCTGGATCAGAATTGATAAGGTACGCAATTTCTATCAGTAGTTCCAACCCTAGGGGGGAAATTTCTAAATTACTCTCAGGCGCAAATATATGACTTTTGTATCTCGGCTTCAGAACGTTGTAGGGGCCTCTCTTTTAGCTCAAACTAACTGCGAAAGCCACATTTACATACAAGCAATAAAGCAACATAGGGTTTATAGTGCTTAGCTTTGGAGATATTCATTAAAAACTGTTTTAACTTTCGTGCATCCTAAAATAGTAACATCAAACATGTAATTAATTTTGGTATCCTGGGCTAAAAAAGTCTTACAGACACTTTACTTGCAGCACAGCAAAATTTTCAGCATGAACACATTCAGATAATATTTTCAGACAACACAATTCAGTTTCAGAAGCTCCTTCCAGCTATCTTATCTTATCCCCAAATGTATACATCTAACCATCTCTCTGGCTACTTCAAACCACTTCAATCCCCAAAGTTATACATGAACATCTAACTATCTCGTAATAGCTACCACAAGTTGGGCTCTCTCCAGTACTGTTTGACTATTATGGCTAATCAACTTCAATCCTACCTCATGAAGTAGAATCTACTTCTAGCTACCTTTAATTCTGCTACCTCCATGCTATGCCTATATCTACCTAGCTACCACCAGCACGTTATAATTTTA